GTGTTAGTGTCAACAAGTAAATACTTGAAGTCCCCGACCGTTTTTTTAGATGGTCTATTCGGAACGACAGTTTTTGGCGCGTAACAGCCGTTTGTGTAGTATAATATTATGTTTATGGCCCTCCTGCCAATAAAATGGCTCCTTGGCCTCAAGACAGTCACTTTGGCTATGACGTTGAGGGTTTTGGGGCAGCGCTGCGAGTCAAGTGTTTGAGCATATGCTCGCTTTGCAACATCAAGTTTGTAGGGCAATTAGTGCTCCTTGCGCTGATGCGCATTTGTCAAAGAATCACAGCTGAACCGACCTTTGTAACTGAGCATGCCCAAGTTTGCATCGCAAAATAGATAGCAAGGGAACGATTGCACAGTAGGATATAGAGCGTAAAACTCGAAGCCATTTGCAGCGCATAGCCGAAGGAATAAATCTCTATTTGAGGACTGCAGAAGTTATCCTCCTGAACATACAATAGTATTGGGACAAGAACTCGTGATTGAAAATACCTTGCTGGGCTCTAGTATGAACTGTCCTGAAAATAGCGTGAAACCACCGTGAAATTGCAGTGAAGTTACCGTGAAACACCGTTTTTGGCCGTGAAAGACCGTTTTCTGCCCGCGAAAGACTGTCTGTATAATTCCTGTTTTGATAGTTTGGATGTTGATTCCTACACATGTTGGCGGTGGCCTCAGGCATAGTAGTGTTGATTGTTGGCACGGCAAGTTACTTATTCGCCGGCAAAGCAGTCAGCCGGTGTGGATGCTTTGTGTAGGCTCCAACTCTGTGCAACAGGGCGGCCTTCTTATAGCTGGTTGTTTGGTCAGCTCGCAATAAAATAAACGGTTAATCATACCGCTGGGGTGCTCTGTTCTTTTGGCATTAAGCAATTTGGTCCAAGGTTAAAGCACGATTTATATTGTTTGTTTGAAGCAAGCTTTGAACAATAGAAACATTGGCTTTCAAGGAACCGTCTTTCTCTACAGCAGCACCGTAATAAATACCGCCTTTGGAATCCCATGGAGTATGTTTGAAGCTTTCGGTTCAGTGGTTGTGCTTATGTTTCTTTCGGATTCTCTGAGTCTGTAATGCTGCTTTGGGCGCCGGTTGCTTTTCGGCCATTTCGTCAGCTTGATGACAAAGATTAGGATGCATGGAGATGCTTGCTTGGTTGGGTGGACTTCTTTGAAGGGCCTTACCGTGTCTTCACCTTCAACTTCTTGCGACTATCTTCAAGGGCTTCAATCTTCGCCGCTGGTTTGGAGCTGGTGAAGTTTCGCAGGGACCCCAGAAAGAACACATGTTCCACGTGTATTTCTTGGCCTGGGCCGGCAAGCCACCTGGCCATGGTTGTGCTTGAGAATCAGGTCACGTTGCCGACTTAAAAATATCTGACACGCGGGAAGACTCCGGACTCAACTTTGAGGGCAGGGAGGGGGTTCACCTATCTCTAGACAGGCGCAGTTTGTTTTCTGCCTAGAAAACTTCCATGTTGACGGACACTGGTGCAACTTGGCATCACACGGCAGCCCGGCCTTCGACCGGGGGGTCGTGGAAACATAGAAACCTGCATCTACTTCTGAACGCTTGCTGCACGATGGCTTACAATACGGAGCTTGCGCAGACAAGGGGCAGCGTTGAGGGGTTTGACAAATTTTGCTGACTACTTTTTGACTCAGCTTGCTTCGGTCTGCAGTGCAAGCGTCTGGTAAGCAGCCGCTTTCACGCTACCCGGCGCGCCCGCGTGCTTGCCACAGTTGGTGACTCAGTAGCCTGCGCCGTGCAGAGGGCAAGTTGCTTTCTGTGTCAATCCGAGGATCCTTTGCGGGGAGTTGTCTGGATGTAGCCCAAGGTCCCTTCTCGCTCGCACGAAGGCCTCCGAAACTACGTTACACAGCGCCGCCGCCCCCACCAAGCGAGCGCGCCCAACGCCAAACTGAATTTAGTCAAACGTTTGCCATTAGTGGGGCTTTTCGTGCAACTAAACAAGGGCCCTCAGCAGCCCTCACTTTCTGCCAGGTACGGGGCTTCAAGGTGCCTGTGGGCTCCATGGCCACGCTCTCTGTGGTGTCTGTGTGTGGGGCCTCTGCTCATTCTGTCGAGCCGGTCTTGCGTGGTGTTCAGCTTTGAGGCTGCAACTCTGTGGAGCTGGTTGGGTTCATTTTGGCCCAAACGAGATCCGTTTAGACTTGCAGAAGTGTTTGCTATTCTCAGTTGGTTGCATCTGTCCACCATGCGCCGCTCCAGAAGCACACCACTTTTGCCCGCGGGTGCTTATTTTCAGCGCGTGTCAGGAGAATGCAGGGAAAGGCTCAGCAATTGTGTTTGGCAGGATTGTGAATTGTCACTGCGACACTCTCTTGCGGGGTGTTCAAAGGGCGAGGGGCGAATCCAGGCCAATTCCTTCCAGAATATGGCGGAAAACCCAGCAGTTCAAGTGGGATCTTCCGGGGGTACCTATGGTTGTTAGACAAAATCAGCCCAATGACCTGCCGGGCAACACCGGCCTTCCAACAGCCATCCAAGAGAGGTTCCGAACCTCCAGACACTACAGGCAACTGCTCAAGCCGCCTTTCTTGTTTGATTTTAATTGCAATACCAGTGGGGAGATCTATTTGTAGGAGTTGTCCCTTGTCTTGCGATTCTATTTGAGGCGCTCGGAGAAGATGATTGGCGTGGGTGAGGCCGATCCGGAGATCCGGAGGGAGTCTTCGGAATTTGTTAGCAAGACAAGTTCTTCTGATGTTGCACTCTGAATAGTGACAGGCCGCCTCAGACGGATTGCCCACCAGTGTGAATGTATCGGACTGCGGCAGTGTTTCAAAAGAGAATCCACAAAACGGTTTCTTCTCTGGGTTCCTTCAAAACAACCGCTTTCCGAAAACGGCCATGGGCCCACTTCGGCACACTATTCTTTGGCTCGAGGCATGGATCCGATGGATCTTTGCCTGAAATTTGCCCCAGCATCTAGTGGCGAGAAGGAACGTCCTACAGCCATCAAAGGGCGGCTTCAGTGCAATTTGCTGGGCTAGGATTCGCTAAATACAGACCAGAATGCAAAGTGTGTTTTGTTTGTTGGGCAAAAGCTGAGATAGAATTTGCATCGCGCCTTTGTCTCCAAGAGGGGTACTTTCATGTTTTTAGTGCGGCCGCTCCCAGCTGAATCGAAATGGCGCAAGCCCACACAGAACACGAAGGACCATTACTTGGTGCTTTCTGACATTCTATATTTAACGACTGTTTGTGGCTTATTGCTGGTGGGTCGAGGATCACTTCGCTTCCTTCGGGAAGCCCGTTTTTGCCTGTTTCCCCACTCCGCCCGTCCCTCCGCCCGTCCCCTCTTCGGCGCGGCGTTTCGCGAGGGCGGGGCCATCCTGGGGAACGACGCCACGCTGGTGGCCCGCGCCAAGTGGTGGTGCTCGAGGGCGCCCTGCCGCGGCGCCTCGGCTCGCTCGCTCGCTCGGACGGCCGATGTGGCTTGGCCCCTTTTTTGAGCGACCCTTGGGGTAATTTTGAGGATGCCCGAAAAAGCGGGGGTGCCAGACCTACCCCACATGATGCCAAAACCCACCTGCATGAAGCCTGTTTGCAACCTTATAGGAAGCCGAAGCCCGAATGTTTTGGCAGTTGCTCCGTAGTTCAGTTTGATGCCTGACTTTATCATCAACTACCACCCCCCCAAACTTACTCCAGATCATTCTCCCACTCAACACGCCAGTTCCGGACTCAAAATGGGAACCCCGCCTTTTGGATCAAGCCAAACGTCCAATTGAAGGAAAGGTGATGGAAGGGGCGATTCCAAGCATCAAGCATCACCTGGACATGATGCGTCGATCCCGCATTTCTTACGGGAATAGCACGTAGTTTGTGATTTTGGCAGGGTAGAAGGAAATGACAAGAGCTGCACTTGGCGCCGGGGAGTTTCCAGCATCAAGGCTTCCGAAGCTGTAGCTAGCGCTGGAGCTTCAGGTTCTGCATGCGAGCAGAATCCGCCAGTTTCCGGAAGTCGATGGCCAGCGTGGGCCAGTCGCATTGTCAGCTGGCGAGGTGTGGGCCTTTGGCGGGTCTACGAGCACGACGCAGTGGGCCAGAACTTCCGGATGCCCGAGATGCCACGGGCCCGGAAAGATCCAGTCTTGGGGAGGGAGAGACGCTGTGGGAGGGGGGGAGGTTTTTGGGGGGTTCTTGTTTCCCACGGGGTGAAAGTAGATGACGCAATTCCCTTAGGTGGGATGGCTGAACCAAAAAGCTGGGATTGTGCCATTTGCGTTCACGCGATTGTATTTGACAGCGGGCGGGGTTGTAACTTGCTTGCTTTGGAGGCAAAGTGAGGCGTTGGCCGCTCCGGCCCGGCTGCAATGAAACTCAACACACAGGATGTTCTTGATGCGCATAGCCGAACACGCCAGGCCTGGATGTTTGCCTTTCTTGTTTCCGGTTTTGCACGACAAGTCACTGGTGGACCTCTCAAAAGTGGTGGATGCTCCGGGTTAGGATGGCATAGAGGATCTCTCAGAAGGAACTCTAAGGGTGGTTTTTCGGAGGTTCATAAAAAGAGCACTCATACCTTGCTCACTAGAGGGCTTGGCATTGCCAGGTGCTGCATTTGAATCAAAACAATCCATCACAAGCAGCAGCAAGCTGACAAACAGCATGGGGCCAAACGGCAAGCCAATTCTTTCTCGTTTGGGGTGTGGGCTTGTTGCGAAACGTTTGTTGGAATCTTCTGTCTTTGCAAGTGTATGGGCAGAACATTGTTTGATGTATGCTTTCAGCTTGCTCTCTTTCGCCATTTGCTCAGGAGCCAGAGATTTGGATGGTCGTTGGGCTCGATGGAACTGCCCGCTTCGTCCTGGCTCAGGGTTGAGAAACCCGTACTCAACGAAGTTGGGCAGGCCGAGACAGGAGTCGAAGGTCCAAACCCATGCGAAGCATTTGCTCCCCAACGCTTCAGACATGCAAAACACATCTCAGAGAAATGGCAAGTGGCCGGAAGCGCGTTTGCAGTCGGTTTATGTTTTTTCTCTTTCATTGTGCGGCTTGCCGTAGAAACCGTCATGAAGCTGCTGCTGTGCTTGCTGACCGCTTGCCTCGGCGCGGAGCTGCGAAAGCGCGCGGCGCAAAGCGCGCAGAGCGCGCAGAGCGCGCAGAGTGCGCAGTCCACGCAGCGGCGAGGCAGGGAGATGAGCGCCACCCGCTCGAACCCCGTGTAGAGCTGCCATAGGTGCCGCCGCAAGTTTTATGTCTATACACGGTTTCGGGCACCCCTTTTAATGCGACGAGGACCCAGAAGCAGGCTTCACGAGGTTGTGGTTGCCGCAAAAAAGCAAAGGAGTCAACCGAGTTTCATGCGGCGGGGTTGAGACAACGAGGGGCCGTTTTTGGAGCTTTGTGTGGACTCGCAAGGGGGTCAGGCCCCCAAAAAGGCTCACCGTTTGTCAACCGCCCTGCCGTTTTGGAAGTGGCTACTGTCGCCTGGGTGGAACAGGCATGCCCAACTTTAGAGGCGATGCCCTCAACGTCCACTTCCTCAAATCTGCACCGATCCACCTGTCAGGTGGACCAGTTTGCATTTTATTTGTTAAGGAGCCCCCTAAATTGGTGGTTTTCCTGGAAAAAAAGGGGTACCCTGAAAAAAAGGACACATGGGAGCCACAGGCCCTGTTTCAACCCGCCAGTTGCCACCTGCTCCTGCGACTGCTGCGGGGTGGCCCAGAGGCGGCCAGACGAGCGCCGCAACACAGGCGGGGCCTGGTTTACCAAGGCTTGTCCCCCCTTTGCTTTACCACCTTGTAGCCCCTTCCTTCTTTACCTTTGCTGTAGCCCCGTTGTTGTACCCCTCTGCTTTGCTCCCCTTATTTCTGTACCTCCTTTCGGCATTTAAATTTGGTGAGGAGCTAGACAAGCCTTTCGGAGCCAGACGTAGATTTCAAGCTCAGATGGTTGGGCAGAAACATGGTTTGGTCACTGAAATTGGTGCCTGGAAGGCCCATGGCTCCCTGAGTTCGGCTTGGGCACCCCTTGAGTTGGGTTCGTTGACGCCTCAGAAAGCACACGCGCAATGTATTGACACAAACATACGATGTGAGGGCGTCTTGTGTTTGGTGGGAACCCACTTTGGGTTGGTTTCCATCAGAAACCACCAGGGCACCAACCCATTTTTTGGGTTCCCCGATTTTGAGACACACCCATGTCGATTTCGGTTCTGTGCCAGGCCTGAAGTGTGCCCCGGCGGCGGGCCACAGCGCGGATCTCTGCAGCGCCCAGTGTCGCCCACACCCGGACGACCAGGCGCTTTTTGATTGGGGTGGTCTCACCGGTGCCCTTGGTTCCTTTTGATTTGGGATGGCGAGTTCGGGGACTGGGTAGATGAGGGTTAGGGGGACAAGTCCAACAATGTGCAAGCCCTCTCAAAAAGTCATGGGTTTGGGTGGGCCCCACCCTCTGCCCAGTTTTGGCTCACATCGAACCAAGACGCCCACACAAACGCCAGGTCCTGGGGCTGGTGGCCCGGGATCTGCTGGACTACTCCCGCTTCTGCTTCTACGCCCCTCGTGCCCAAACCGGGGCGGCGGGGTGGGGGGGTGGGCGGTTAAACAAAACTGAGAGATGCCCCTCCCCCCCAAACCTGTTTTGGGTGGGAGCACATTTTCCGGTGACCAACCTCTGTGCGAGTTCTTTCGAGAAGAACAAGCTGGGGGTTGGGACACGAAGGGTTTATCGGGACGTGGAGCCCAAAAAAGGGGTCACTCCAAAGCAGATTCCTCAGCATGGATGGTTTTGGGTTCCATGTCACGTGGAAGGCAGAATTAGTCTTCAGGTCAATGGAAGCTCCTATTGTGCGGCAGTTTTCGCTTTTGGGGAATGCTGTTTTTGCTTTGTCAGCTTTGTGTAGCGGGACACGAGAAAGGGGGGGACACTCGCAACACTGGAGGAGAGCCCGAAACCCGGACACCCTGGGTTGAAATTGTGTTGCTTTCTGAGTATTTATCCCGAAATGACAAACTCCTGCGGACCAAAATCACAAGGTGCGTGCCAAATCAAATATCACGGTGGGTCAATGTTGGTCAGCTACCTGGATTGAATCCAACCAGGACCAACTTGAACAAGCGCCCACAGGGGACAAACTACATATTCAAATGGGGGGCTCATGGTGACCTCGCAAGCTCTCTTTTCTGACCTGGGCCGGCAAGTTTGTTCCTCCTAAATTCCAGGGGATGACAAAAGAGTACACAAACGCACACCACATGCATTCTCCCCAGAAACGGTGGTTACAAGACCCAAAATCCTGTGTCAACATGATTTATCGCGTGTGTCCACGCCCTCAGGAACCTTGCGTTGGGGGAACGACTGTTTGGGGTTTCGTGTGAATCTGCAGGGGCGCGCCCCGTTCTCGATCAGGAAAGTGAACAGCAGGAGTCTTTTGGGAAAGTAGGGCGGCAAGTAATGATGGTTTAAAATTCAAAGAATAATGGAAAAGGAATCACCCCCCTGCCACAACTGCGAACATAGAAGCCCAAGACCACCTGCAGACTGCCACCCCTGCCCATTGGTCTTTTTGATGTCCTTTGTGTACCATTTCTGTGCACTTTCCGTACCCTTTGTGTGCAATTGATAAACCCTCGATATGGCCGTGGCCCATGACAAACCCTTTTCTGCACCCTTTATACATAGGCTATATACGCTTTGTGTACCCTTTCTACGTCAATGTTGATTCCCTTTGTACCCTCCCACCAACAAGTGTGGGCGTGCACAGCCAGCGCCCTGTACCCTTGTTTTTGCTAGAATCTCCCGAATTCCCCGAGGAAAACCGATGTACGCCATAAAGTATATGGCACAATTCCCAGGTGAATAAGCAAAGGGATGACTAAGCCAAGTTGGGTTGGGATTGCGGCATTTGCTTGGACCGTTTTCCGCCAGAAAGCAACCGCCGAACCCTGGAAGATCCCATCCAAAGAGATTTGCGATGTTTCGCCAGTGGAACTACCGGAAATTGGCCAAATACCCTACCAATACCCAGGGTTAGGAACCACCTGTAGAATTTGGTGGAAGCCACGTTAAAAGCCAGTCTGGAAGCACGCAAAATGTGTGATTTCTCTCAGCAAACTAGGGCTTCACACCAGGGGTTCATACTGTGTCCTTTTTTCGGGTAGACCTTTGGACGCGCGGAGATCCGGGACGCGCATAAGGAATGCAAGCCCCCGGGCCTCAACAGCGCGCTGGAGTCCCAGTGCCTGGCGCTGGCCCCGTCGGAGCTGCGCCAGGTGTGGGAGGGGGCTTGGGGTAGGTGGGGGGGCTTCAAAGGGGGGGGCTTGGCTTTTGATTGTTTGGTGGGTGATCAAAAGGGGAGGGGGGTTAGGTGGTTGGGTGGTTGGGTGAGGTTTGGTTTTGTTCGGGTGCTTAGGTTGGGTTTAGTTTGAGTTGGGTCCGTTAAAATGTAAAGGCCCGAAAACGCGCCCTCCAATCATGCAAGCTGACAGGAAGGTGCGGGAGGACTACGTATTGGGGAACCTCCTTGTCCACTTTCATGATAGGTTGGAAAGAGGGTATCCAACCGTAGAAACACATGCGTATATAAAACATTAGTATTCATGAACATATTGTATATATATATATATAATATAGAGAGAGAGAGAGAGAGAGCTCTCGTGACATATATATATATATATATATATTGCATATATATATATATATATATATTGCATATGGATCTCTATGATATACATACGTATAAAAACATGTAATGTATATACACATCCACTATCCCTCCTCCCCCACCATGTCAGGTGCTGGACAGCGACGGGAACGCCATGGACCCGGCTTTCCTCTATGGAGCTCCGGCCGCCGTGGCGCTGGCGAAGGAGTCGTGAAAGCGGAAAGCGCTTGATTGCCCGAACCCACCCCCAGCTGAAACTGGGCTGTACCATACTATGAGTATATATGTACGTCTCAGTTGGTTTCTGTTCCCGAGTTTCCATGTTGATTTGGGGAGAACGCAACTTGGGGATGGGGGATGGCAATACTCCAACTAACCTCTGAACTTCAACACTGTTGGGAGTATTTTTACTGCCTTGATACCATACTAATTGTCGTAGGTTTATCGATATACGCTTCTCGCCAGTGCCAGGTTTTCGTTCTGAGACTTGAAAGGTTTTGGGTCTGGACCATCTTACAAACAACAATTCTGGACTTTGTCTGACCAATCCACTCAAGAAGTGAGTCAGAATACTCCCCAGAAGATTGATGAAGCGACGGCTTTCTGAGTCGAAGCTGATCTGCAGGAGTGCAATAATGCTAATCCTAATATATATATAACAAATGTAGTGATTCCTAAATCATGAATAACTCCAAAAATGGCCCACGGGCTGTTTCCCTTCGAATTCCCTTTGTACAGCACCGATGGGTATTGCCATCAAATTCCCTGCGAAACCGCATAAAGAAGTGTAGCCTCCACAAATAAACGCCCGGTTCTGCTGCAATCTGCTGGGTTTGGATTGCATTGCTTTGTTTTGCTTTGCTCGTTTTGTCCGCCTTTCCATGCCCTACAAGTTGCTAAGACGAGATTGGCGCCAACGCACAGCTTGAAGTCAGGAGCACGCCAGCTTTCTCCTCTGCATCTCCACGGAAGCAAGTCCTCTGAAAATACGTGCTGCAAGTATTTTGCCAGATTCCCTCTCCCCCTGCCTGCATGAGGAGAGCCCGGCAGAGACAGCTGCAGATGGCCGGCAGGCAGTGACGGAGGTGCTGACAAACGCCACGGAGGAGTGGGGAGGGGAGACAAAAGTATGGGCTCTGCTGTGGAAATGCACACCCATTTGCACCCCTTTCAGGTTGCTTTAAGAAACACCAAAAAGGACTCCCCCTCATTGCATTTTTGGTGTCCCGCACATTTCACTGCTGATGGATGAAATCCAGCCAGGTAGTTTATGCCAGTATTCATAGGGTTTCGTCCATCCCCGCTGGTGCGAAGTGGATTTGTGCATCCACTGTATGTTCACAACTTTTCGAAGCGGGTCTGAGTCTGGCCCATGTTACGTTTGTTGAGAAGCGTGTTGCATCGTTTTGCGATCCATTTGCGCATCGGCCCTGCAAAAAGGGGTTCAAGGGGTCAATATTTGAAAGGCTAGGGGGCTCCCAACTATGTTGATGGGGGCCTAAAAGGGGCGCACACTCGCCGATTTCCGATGGCCACGGGGCCCAAGAGGGGCCGTTGATTTCTGGCCGCCGCTTTCCGCTCGCTCGCGGAAAGCGGAAAGCGCCGCGAGCTTGGAGGACACCGAGGAGGCGAGCGAGTCAAAGGTGGCCAACGAGATCGCCGCTCGGTGGGGGTTTCTTTGGAAATGGCCATGGGGCAAACCTATGGCTCCATTCTGGGGATGACCATCCATTTGCCACCAATTTTGATGCTCACCAGGAAAACAGGGTTTTGACCCACAGCCATATGGGCGAGGGTACCCCTCTTTTGGTGGTCTTAAAGGGAAACCAAACAAACCAAACTGAGGTTCCGCGATTTGAAAGCAAGCTCAAACAGGCTTCGGTTTCCCTCAGGTGTCCCTATAAAGCAAAAATGGTTGGTGGACATGCGTCTCCTGTCTTTTGGACCGGGGTCCTATATGTCCTTTTCTTGGAATTACACATCGTGGTGTTGACAGGGGACATATGAGGACCCCTTTTAGATGGCATTTAATCTGGGCAGAGCCCGAAACTCGCATTCGCCCTATGAGAAGGTGGTTCTACCTCGTTTTGAAGAGGTCATAGCAAGGCCGAAATATACATCTTTCTAGCCATCTTAGTACCAACAATCAATGGGTGGACCGGGTTCCCTGAGCCTGAGGGTCCTATTTCGAGGCTCTTGCAAAGGATTAAAAAGACAGCGAACAAACACCACTTCCGGGGTTCCAATTCCGTTGAGAGCCCCATCGACTTCACCGGTCCCCGGTTTTACGTTGGGCTCAGGAGGGCGCCGGAGACCCGCTGGCGGCGGCGGCCAAGGCCCGCGACGCCGCCCAGCGCGCGGAGGAGAGCGCGGCGAACGCGCAGCGGGCGGCGGAGCGGACCATCGAGGCCATCGAATCGAAGCGGACGGAAGCGGAGAACCAAGAAAAAGCAAGACTTCCGATGGGTCGCCTTCATTTTTCTTGTTGTTTTTTGGAGGATGTTTTATTTAAAATCACTTTCGGAACACAATAAGTGGCCCTTCTTCCCATGGCCACAGGGTCTGGGAAACCATTCCTGTGGTTTCCTTCAGGGGATGCCTAGGTTTTTTTTCCAACCCCGAACCTGGTTTTTTTATTTGCATTGTTGGAGGCCTGCAAAATGCGGCGCCCTGAAAGACAAAGACCCTTTCAAAGAAACACTGTGTAAGCCATGGCTTAAGGGCCTGTTGAAACACCCGCTCAACCCTGCCTAGAGGGCTGGAGGCTGGTCAGCAAGCTGGATAATATGCCAGATGGTAGTGACTTCATAGCTGTAGTGGTGTCCCATATGGATGGCGGATTATCGATCTCCCTATTTAAAGCACCCAGACAAGTAACAAAGCGTATTTCTTTACACAGACTCGAAGCCTCGTTTCCGGAGGGTTCCTGCGTAATTGCGCCCATGTCTTCTTTTAGGCGCTGCAGAGCGGGCGCAACGAGACGTGGATGGCGGCCATGTGGCAGGCAAACAAGGCGGGTTGTTGTTCGCATTTGCAGGGTGAGGGGGGGGGAGAGGTAGTCATCTGTCGGTCCAACATGGCCATGGATTCAGAAAGCTCAGGGCTTGGCTCGTGCCAATGTTTGGAATCGAGCTCACCAAGTCGGGGGTAAACCTGCTTACCATAATGTAAGTCCTGCGATCCAACCCTGAACTGTATAGTCAATTATAGTCAATTTAGCAGATGCGCGTGGTCAAAGGACCGGGTTCCTTTGCTTGGGGTTGGCAACGATCATCAACCTCCGCAGGTTTTAGACAAACGATGTAAAGGTTCCTGTTGTGATTTTGGCACATGTGAGAGGCGAAGTAGTCCCCCGCATGAAAAATCGGTGGCGGGTAGGCTTTTGTTGGCTGGCTTGGTTGGAACCACACATGAAACTGGTAGCGGTAGAGCGACCTCACCAGGAGGGAAGTTGTGGCCTGCCAGCAAGGTTTCTTTCTTGGGGGTCCATGTCTTATCTCAGGTTGGTGCAAGTCGCAAGTACTTCCGTTTCTTGTTCCGGAAGCTATTAGCTTCCGGTGCATCTCTGGTGCATCTCTAGAAGAAGCTTTGCAATTTGCACTGATACTAAACTGTATCTTGACTTAGGAATTTAGTTCCTTGGCTGGAGTGACATGCGGCGTGGCCACTACCAAGCAAACACGGGCCATTTTGCATTGCCAGGGTCGAGCAGTGGTTGAGAGGCGTAGTAGACAGTAGCGGCCCATTCTTTCCAGCTAGGGTGAGAGTCCCTTTACCCTTTCTGCGGGGCCTAACTCGTGAAACTGGGCCAAGTTGCCTTGCTAGGGTGCTGATTTGGCTAATTCGCTCTTCT